CGGCCTAGGTGTTGGGCGGTGGTTTGCACCGCGATTAAACCAAAATCGTCGAAGAAATAAGAAAAGGGTATTAGGTGGTGCCTAGATGGGCGTTGGGTGGGTTAGGCGGCCTCGGCGACTGCTAGGTGGCTTTGATGGTAAGTCGATTACAACGTTGTTCTTCCAATGTGGTAATGAGGTTGGACGATTGGGCGACCATCCTGATGGGTTTTGATCTGCAATTGTAAAGAAAATGAAGTGAGACAATTTGGCTGGGATGAGAGCAATAGACAACAATCTGCAATTAAAAGGTAAATATGTGGGACGAGATAGTGGATCTGCAATTGCAAGGTAAAAAAAAAAAGAAAAAATACGGCTTGGCTGGGGAGAGGGAGAAGGAGAGAGAGAGAGATCGATAAAGGTATCTACAATTGCAGAGAAATAGAGTGGCTGTGCAATTTTGCAATTAGAGTTAGAGTTTATTTTGGTTAGCGATATGCAATTAAATGGAGCGATAGAGGTATTTGCAATTAGAGTCAGGGTTTATTTTGGTTAGGAACTTAGGTGTCATTTCTTTAAAACAAGGCCCAATTTATTTTTAATTAAAAACAAAGGCCCAATTCATTTTAATGAAAAACAAAGGCCTAACAATGATTAAAATAAATGGGCTGATTAAATGTTACAAAATCAACATAAAAAGTCCTAAAATTTTACACATATATTTAAATCCATCTCGGTTGCCCGACTAACGCCTAACGTTTTTTAGAACCTTGTTTAGTACCAATCTCACGACTTATGACAAGTAATTACTTGCCGATTGTCTTGGTGTGAGGAGAGTGGAGTTTCATGATAAGTATTTGGATTTATCGGTGTTTATCAGAAAGTCGAAGAAGGAAAGTTTTTTGTATGTGAAAGATCGGCTTTGGAAAAAACTACAGAGATGGCGTGGTGATTTATTGAGTAGTGTGGGACAAGAATTGCTAGTGAAAACAGTGGCACAAACCTTGCCTATGTATTCTATGAAATGTTTTTTTTCTTCCCAAATCCTTTTGCGAGGAATTAAACATGACGATTGCTAAATTTTGGTGGAGTGGTGACCTTGGCAAACGGAAAATCCATTGGCTTAATTGGCGCCAATTGTGTAAGCCTAAACACGAAGGAGGTCTTGGCTTCAGGGATCTCTATGCTTTTAATCTTACCTTACTGTCAAAACAAGCATGGTGATTTAGTCAACAACTAGACTCTCTTGTCTTTCATGTCTTAAAAGCCTGCTATTTTCCTACAACCGACTTTATAAGTGCTCGGGTCAATGCCAATGGATCGTATGTTTGGAGAAGTATTGCGACTTCACGGCCGGTGCTACAAAAATGGCTTCGATGGCAGCTGGGAGATGGGAAAAGTATCAGAATTTGGCAAGACAATTGGTTGCCGAGAGATTCCTTTTTTCAAGTTTTGAGTCCACCGCCGAAGTACTGGGATGCTGAGGCCACGGTAGATAATCTCTTTCTTGCAAGCTTGCGACGGTGGGATTTTGAGCTGTTGTATGAGTTATTTTCCCAGGAGGAAGTGGAGCAAACGGTCAGCTTTCCTCTTAGTATTCGTTCGGTTGAGTATCGATGCATTTGGCATTATGAACGCAATGAGAAGTTCTGGGTCTAAAGTGCCTACCATGTGGCACGAGGTATCATTTCTTTAGCTGGGGGTGGTGCAAATGCTTCTCCTTTTTCGATTAGTATTGGTGGCAAAAAATTATGGAGGAGGTTATAGAATGCTTGTGTTCCCGATAAGGTAAAGATTTGTGCATGGTGTGCATGTTTGGATTCTTTTCCCACAAGATTGAACATTGCGAATAGGCGAGTGGTAGTGGATAATTTATGTGGGTTTTGTGGTTCACATAGCGAGTCGACATAACATGTACTAAGAGATTGCAGCACGGTGAAGGCGGTCTGGTTTGGGGGTATATGTATTTGGTTCGAGAATGGCAGCGCTCAACAATTTTTGCAATGGTTATTACACATTGCTTTGCACTTTCCACCCTCGGTTTTTGACCTGTGTTTGATGATCTTATGGCTACTGTGGAAGAACATAAATGATGCTTTATGGAATGGGTCTTATTTGTCGCCGCATGAGGTGGTGTTTCGAGCAAAGGGTTGGCTGCATGAGTATTAGAAATGGCATAAGGTTGGTGCGAGGAAGGTAAATTGTCATCCCCCCCCCCCAAGAAATGGAAGAAACCTGACGTAAATTGGGTCAAATGTAATTTTGATGGGGCGTGGATTCAACAAGGATTACGGGGTGGTTTTGGTGTAATCCCTTGAGATCACTCGGGGGGGTTCATCGTTGCTATTGCCAGTCTAATTGGAAGGACAAGTTATGCTTTACATGATGAGCTATTTGCTACCTATCAAGCTATTTTGTTGGCCCAGTTTTATTGCCTAGTTGGTATGAGTGTAGTTTTCGAAGACCTTGCCTCAGCTGGTGTTAAACCATGTTCAGTGAGAAAGCAACTCGGCTACGCATCGCCTTGATCGAGTGGGAATTGATAGTAACCAACAGTTTGTGTGGTTTAAAGAACCTCTTGATTTGCTTAGGGATATTTTGTTTGAAGATACTTTATAATTTGCCTATGTATTGTCATTTGATGATAGGTTATTCTGTTGTGCGGAAGATTCTTTTTCCTTCGATTAGGTTGAAAGCCTTGACAAAGTTTTATTGAGGCCCTTTATGCACACTATCTTTAATTTGTACGTTTTTTGATAGGGTACCCCATTTTACTTCTCACACATCTTTCTAATTTTCGATCGTCGGATCGGATGAATTGAAGAAGATCAACGAACAGAAATTAACAAGGATGTGTGGATAGCACACTCATTTCTGATTTGTTTAATAAATATCGTACTTCCCTTGAAAAAAACAAAAAACCATAAAAAGTAACTTTCCCAAAACACACAAAGACAGAAAAAGTTGCAATCACAATACTAATGGCCCCGGCTCTGCTTACACGCTGAGTTGTCATCTCTCATTCGTTTCCAAGTCCCTATCAAACGAAACCCACGCCCACATAGCCAAAACCCGCGAATCAAGTTTCAGTAACCAATCAGGCATTTAAAATTCTTTGAAAATATTTTTATCATCACTCTTAACTTAAGCGATGGTCCCACATGACGGAGATGTTCACCACTCCCAAGTAAGGTAGTGAGGATGGCGAACAAAAATATATCCGATTCTTTTATGAAAATACCCACTCTTCCTTAAATATTATAAATTAATTAAATTACAAATCATTTTATCATATATAAGTGTACAACAAACAAACGACCATGGATAAGCTTCCAGTGGGATTTCAGTCCCCACTTTTTCCTCCCTACTTATTGGTTTACTTAAATAATACTTCTATCCACACATTATTTTTGTCTTTCACATATTTTGTTAAATTTTACCTCACATATTTTGTTAAATTTTACCTATTAATTTTCTTCAATTCGGTGATTGAAAATTGACAAAAATAGATGAGAAATAAAAATAATTAAAAGGATAATTGATTAATTTTTAAGTTAAAAATATGTTAATAAAGTAGTGCAACCCATGTAATGGATCCAAGTTCTTTGAGTTTTTTATTTTCTTCCAAACATAAGATAAGATATTAAATTCCTGGAATTTCCCAAATTTACCACTCTCTCTTTTTCCTAAACTAGGCAACTCTACCACGCGGCAAAGATATCTTTATTTAATATATTTAACTACTTTGTCACACTCATCCTCCAACTATGATAAATATTTAAATGAAATGGAAAAATAATTGCATGGTATCTTTTTTTAATAACGCTAATATTAGTAAGACTAAGGGGACGTTTGTTTGACCGGATTAAGGGGGACAGGACTAGACTAGATTGTAGTCCCTTGTTTGGTCTGGACAAGGATTAGGGTTAATGGGACTAAAGGGGACTCGCCCCGACTGAATGTTTCACTAAACTTTCTTAAGGAGACCCCTCGATTTCAAGCGGACTGCTAGTCCCGTTCTCTCCCCCACCGCTGATCCCTCATCGTCTCCCTTCTCCTTCGCCCTCTCCATTCTGATTCGCACCTTCGCCCACTCCCCTGGGTCTTCACTATCCCGCCCAAAAGCCTAAACCCAGACCTCAAACAAAAACTGAAAAACAATCCATTGATTCCCTTCCTTTCTTCTTTGTTCAATTCACTCTCTTTCTCAGCAAAATCGTCATGGTTGCAATCACCAGACAACCATCACTAGAAGCTTGTCGTCGATCTCCGTGTTCGTGCACGACCCAGACAAAAGTCGGGACCGAAAGTGTACCAAATGCCCAAGTACCAATTGGGGTTTTCGTCGGTGGTGGGGAAGAAGCTGAGAAACTTGTGAAATTTAGTAGAAAGTTATGAAATTTGGTATTTGAATTTTGTGATATGTGAGAAACTTGTAAAATTTGGACCTTATGTTTTGTGATTCATGAGAAGCAGAGGTGGGGTTTGACAGGAAAAGAGGTAGAGGGAGAAGGAAGAGAGGCTTGACACGTGATGGAGAGGTGGGGTTTGACGGGAAAAGAGGTAAGAGGGAGAAGGAAAAAGATAAAGTAATAGTAAAATATTAATATATAATAAAATATTAATTATATATATTAATTTAATATAAAATAAATATAATATTGTAGTCCTGCTTAGTCTGACGTTTCATCAAACACTTCACTAAATCAGTCCAGCTTAGTCAGTCTAATTTAGTCCCTGAAACTAGTTTAGTTCGAGACAGTCCGGTACAACAAATGCACCATAAATTTTAGTAATTGAAAATTAACATTCGTGTAAGAATTGGATAATAACTATATGGTATCTTTGTTAAATAATGCGTGACTAATAAAATATAAGATATATCAATGTGAAAGTAATAATTTAACATTTACAAAGTTAATTTAAAAGTTTAACATTATTCTTCAATAATATAGTGTTATGTAAATTTTTATTCGCATATCAACGAACTAATGAATTGACATATGATGAAAACGGTTTCATGTAAGCAGTCTTCCTCAATTACTACCACTCCATAGCGTAATGGTCGTTGAAACGTTAAAACGTTTCGTCCAAGAAATTGAGCGGAGTTACTGAATCGTTTGAGGCGAGAGAGCTGCACGGTTTCTACACAGAGAGTCAACGCTCAATCTCTCTCCGTCTTCAGCTTTCCGCCAACCGCCATAGACAAGCTGTAATAACACTAAGAGAGAGAGAGAGAGAGAGAGAGAGAGAGAGAGAGATTTGGAAGAGAAGAACAAGTCAGATTCTGTAGGGGTCAAATCCGGTCCTATTCTTCTCTTGTACGGCTCAAAATTATTGCACGTCAGAGATAAAAAGCCGAAAAGAAAAAGCGATTCCAGGTGCTGTTGGTAGAAGGCACTTTTGGTTCAGCTTGCGTTTGAAGCTTTGCTGGTGAGCTTGAATGAGTAAAGGCTAGGGTCGCCTTTGTGTGTATAAAGGCTAGGTGTTTCTTGTTTGCGGTGACGCTGCGAAGGTGAGATGGAGAACTATTTGAACGAGAACTTCGATGTGAAGGCGAAGAACTCGTCGGAGGAGGCGCTTCAGAGATGGAGGAGGCTCTGTGGATTTGTGAAGAATCGGAAACGGAGGTTCAGATTCACTGCTAATTTCTCCAAGCGGTTTGAGGCCGAGGTCATTCGACGCTCCAATCATGTATAAATCGGCTCCTCTTTTTGTTTATTTTTCTATCTTTTTTCTTATGTCCTGTTTGGTTCCTGAGAAAATTTTCATTTTTGGAATTTTTTAGTGTTTTTTGTTTGTTGTTAGTTGCCTTTGATCCTAGTGCTACAATCGATCCAATCTTATAATTTGGACAGTTAATCTGTAATTCTAATTAATTAGTGTTCCTTTCCTGCGTGCTTGTGGATTTACACTTCAGCTGGTTTACATGCTTTAACAAGTGTAATGTATATAGAAAGTTGGGGCAGATCCTGAGGAGATGCTTTAATTGCCAGGAAAATCACATCTCCGTATTCGAAAATATTTCGATGATAGGTTTACCCAAGGGAGGGAAAAATTCTGGACTCAGTGTTGTCTGAAATTTGAGATTACTTGTTTCTGGTGCATGGTGAATTAGCCATGCTGTTCGCAGATCCATTGCAGCTTGAAATTGCCATTTTGTATTGTCTCATCTTGCGGAATGTCGAAAAGAAAACACTGACCAAGTAAATACATGTAACTGGGTTTGATTAATGGGATATGGAATGTAATACTACGATAATGCGTAAAAGGATTTAACAGCTTTCTGAACCATGTATGGTGAACCGTAGTTGCTGTACTATGGAATTAAGGTCTACCGTCTTCCTTAAACAGAAATTGGGCAGATATCCGTTGTACTTAATGGGGGTCGTAACTAGTAAACGTTTATATTCATGAGCATATTTTATGTAGAAAATATATCTTTTGATGTCTTGTAAAAGAAAAGTTTTATTTCTCACTGTGTTGTCCTTTGTTCTTCTTCGGTGGAAATAACAGGAGAAGTTTAGAGTTGCAGTTTTGGTTTCACAAGCTGCGCTTCAGTTTATCCATGGTTAGAATCTTAACGTACTCAGTCCTGAAGTTGGTTATACTGTAAATTTAAAAACAATATTTCTATCTGTTTTGTATGTTTATTTGGTTTTCAACCTTCAATGTGTGCAGGCTTAAGTTTGCCCAGTGATTATACCGTACCTGAGGAAGTCAAAGCTGCGGGGTTTCAAATTTGTGCTGATGAGGTTGGATCGATTGTTGAAGGCCGTGATGTGAAAAAGCTGAAAAGTCATGGTGGTGTGGAGACTATCACAGACAAGCTTGGAACATCAAGTATCAATGGAATTTCTACTTCTGAGAAAATGCTGCATAAGAGAAAAGAAATATATGGAGTTAATAAATTTGCTGAAAAACCATCCCGTGGATTTCTTGTTTATGTGTGGGAAGCCCTTCAAGACACTACCCTCATGATACTTGCATTTTGTGCCCTTGTATCTCTGCTTGTTGGGATAATGACAGAAGGTTGGCCAAAGGGTGCCCACGATGGACTTGGAATTGTTGCGAGCATTTTGCTTGTTGTATTTGTCACTGCAACTAGTGATTATAAGCAATCCCTGCAGTTCAAGGACTTGGAGAAGGAGAAGAAAAAAATTACAGTTCAGGCTACTAGAGATGGATTCAGACAGAAGCTGTCCATATATGAACTACTTCCTGGTGACATTGTTCATCTTTCTATTGGAGATCTGGTCCCAGCTGATGGACTTTTTGTTTCTGGGTTTTCTGTGCTGATAAATGAATCCAGTTTAACTGGAGAGAGTGAACCGGTTAAAGTCAATTCTGATCATCCTTTTCTCCTGTCTGGAACTAAAGTTCAAGATGGATCATGCAAGATGCTTGTAACTACGGTTGGAATGAGAACCCAGTGGGGTAAACTGATGGCTACTCTCAGTGAAGGAGGAGATGACGAAACCCCCTTGCAGGTTAAACTAAATGGTGTGGCAAGCATCATTGGGAAAATAGGCCTGTTTTTTGCTGTTGTGACATTTTCTGTGTTGGTTCAAGGATTGTTCAGCCGCAAGCTTCAAGAAGGATCCCACTTGATCTGGTCTGGAGATGACGCATTGGAAATCTTGGAATATTTTGCTATAGCTGTTACAATTGTAGTTGTTGCTGTTCCCGAAGGTTTGCCTTTGGCTGTGACATTGAGTCTTGCTTTTGCCATGAAGAAGATGATGAACGATAAGGCACTAGTCAGGCATTTGGCCGCTTGTGAGACAATGGGATCAGCCACAACTATCTGCAGTGACAAGACTGGGACACTAACAACTAACCACATGACTGTTGTGAAAGCTTGCATTTGTGGGAAAATCAGAGATGTGGGAACCTCTGAGGAAGCTTCTAACTTGGCCTCCATAGTTCCTGGCGCTGGTTTGAGACTCATACTTCAATCTATTTTTAACAACACTGGAGGAGAAGTTGTTAAAAACAAAGATGGCAAGATTGAGTTACTTGGAACACCCACTGAGACTGCTATTTTGGAATTTGGGATGTTGCTTGGCGGTGATTGCAAGGCAGAACGGGAAGCATCAAAAGTTGTTAAAATTGAGCCCTTCAATTCTCATAAGAAGCGAATGGGTGTTGTTCTAGAGCTTCCTGAAGGTGGCTTCCGGGTGCACACTAAAGGTGCTTCTGAGATAATATTAGCTGCATGTGACAAATTCATGGGCCCAGATGGCGAGGTTGTTCCACTCGATAAAGCATCCATTGATCTTTTCAGTGGCATCATTAAACGTTTTGCTAGTGAAGCCCTTAGAACTCTCTGCCTTGCATACATGGAGGTTGGCAATGAGTTCTCAGCTGAAAGTCCTATTCCCGCCTCAGGGTACACGTGTATAGGCATTGTGGGTATCAAAGATCCAGTTCGTCCTGGTGTCAAGGAGTCCGTTGCAATTTGTAGGTCTGCTGGTATTACAGTCAGAATGGTTACTGGAGACAACATAAACACTGCAAAAGCAATTGCAATAGAATGTGGAATTTTGACCGATGGGGGTTTGGCAATTGAAGGCCCAGAATTTCGTGAGAAGAGTGAGGAGGAATTGCAAAAAATTATTCCAGAACTTCAGGTACGGTCTTATTTTTCTGGAAAGACACTTACACGGAAACATGTAATCAAAATTTCAAAAATACCGCCAGTGAGCTGTTACAGAAACATTTAGTTAATTTATTATCATCTGATCAGGTTATGGCTCGATCTTCACCAATGGATAAGCATACCCTAGTAAGACACCTAAGGACCACTTTTCAAGAAGTTGTTGCCGTGACAGGTGATGGTACAAACGATGCTCCAGCACTTCATGAAGCTGATATAGGGCTTGCAATGGGCATTGCTGGAACTGAGGTATTTACCATGATGTTGCTCCTTTTTGTGTCCTAATAAAAGCCTCTCTCTCACTCTCTCAAATCATAAAGTCACACATTTTCACAGATGATTTTCCTTTTTTTTATAGATATAACATGCTAAAGACAGACAACTCTTTTACTTCGTAGGTAGTTTTTAGAGAAAAGTTCCATCTCTATTTTGATTGATGAGCTTATTACTAAATTGAGGTATCAGAAGGCTGCAAAAAGGTTGGGTTGGAAAGTGGTGGTGGTGGTAAGAGACTAAATCATATTAGGTTAAATATGGATAATACAAGAAAGAAGTGATTCCTTTGCCCAAGGAAGGGTCGTTTACTCTCTTCTTCTCATGTGTTGAACCTTTTTGATATTAAGATAATTAAGCGCATGCTAATCATCTCAGGTAGCAAAAGAAAGTGCTGATGTGATAATTCTGGATGATAACTTCTCTACAATTGTGACTGTCGCCAAATGGGGACGTTCAGTGTACTTGAACATACAGAAATTTGTTCAGTTCCAGTTAACGGTTAATGTGGTTGCACTTATTGTCAACTTTTCTTCTGCCTGTTTAACCGGTAAGCACACTGACATTTTCTTTCTTATTTAAGTTTCTTTTTCTTTCTCATGACAATATTGTGGCTCACTTTTTGGTTTGGGGTTGATAACGCACATAGGAAATACACCGCTTACTGCTGTACAGCTTCTCTGGGTCAACATGATCATGGACACTCTAGGAGCCCTTGCATTAGCCACTGAGCCGCCTAATGATGATTTGATGAAGAGAACACCAGTTGGTAGGACAGGAAACTTCATCACTAATGTGATGTGGAGGAATATCCTCGGGCAGTCCCTGTATCAGTTTGTGATATTATGGTTTCTACAGACCAGAGGAAAAGAAGCTTTCCATGTTGTCGGCCCAGACTCTGATTTGATCTTGAACACCCTTATCTTCAACTCATTTGTGTTTTGTCAGGTAATTATGAATTATCGGGGGATTGATTTACTCGTATTGCGTTAGTCCATGAATCGGAGTATTTGAAACAGTAGAATTCGAATTCAGGAAAGACTACTCACCCTCGTACGCTGTTTCCTTCTTCAGGTTTTCAATGAGATCAGCTCGAGGGAAATGGAGAAGATAAACGTCTTCAAGGGCATAACGCAGAACTACGTTTTCGTGTCTGTCCTCTCTGCCACTGTTATCTTTCAAATCATAATCATCGAGTTCCTGGGTACATTCGCAAGCACATATCCTCTAAGTTTGAAGCAATGGTTTGTTAGCGTTGCGCTTGGGTTCCTTGGCATGCCGGTGTCAGCAGCTCTGAAATTCATCCCCGTGTAAGCGAGAGAGGAGATCGGCTGGGAACTTGAATAGGTACTTCTACGCTTGCCTACCGATGGAGGTTTTGTTATGGCATCATTTCAAAGATCATTCTTTCGATTCTGTAAAGTCGAACAGCTAGCAAATTCAAGGCTAAATGACACTGAACGGAGGCGTCACGTGATATAATGATATTAATGTGAGAATACACTCCGGTTACGTACATAGTTTTGTGTGAAAATGACATCATAAGAGGATATTTGTATTCGATCTAAATTTCAAAGTTTGATTAATTAGAAAAGGAACAATTAATTTTTTATTTTATTTTTAATAAAAAGGAGACCAGTTGATGGTTTTATCACGGCAGTCTACCATTCCAGAGGTCGAGAAGACTCAAAAGCATTTTAGCCTCCTCTTAACCATCACCGTGCAATTCACTTGTGTTAGGATTGTAACTTAGGATGTGCCGGATGAATATGGATCTGGAACTCATTCCCAACTATTGGACCATCTCGTCGTGATTAAAAAGTAACCATTAATTAACTTTGTCAAAATATGATTAGCATAGAAAAACCTATTGATCCCACAATGTCTTGGGTTTGCTGACACCTCAGCACTACACAGCCAACCAACCAAAATGCTTATAAGGAAGAACATAGTAGGGCCCGCCTAGAAAAACATACCCCAAACATTCAAACAAATCAAATCTTTACAAAACTCTCTTGAATTTTGATGGCCAACATGCAACACAAACGCATGAAATCTCACCAAGGCACCTCATCTCTTCTCTTTCCCATTTACTATTTACTATTTATCAACAGAATCACTTCTCTGCTGTAACTGAAGAATTTTCTACAACATTTACTGCACCTTTTGGGTTATTTACTTTCAACCACCTAACCGCTCCTGCATTAGATGGTACAAGAAAAACACAGCGTCCTGCAACACAAGGGCCAACAAGTCCAAGATTAATCAACCCATTAAGCAAAATCCAGTCTTTAATCCATTTGATTAACCAACTAATGAGATTAATTAACGAACCAAAAAAACTCACAGTTTCCAAAAAATTCAAATCAGGAACCGATATCCTGACATTCAATGATTCATTAGTTAAATTCTGATCCAATGCCATTAAGGTGGCGGCAGCTGCTACGGCGGACGGCCGATGATGCATTAAATTGATCTCTAACGTTCAAGAACAAACGTAATTAATTCGTAATTACCATCTAAATCAACCAAAAAAAAAAACAAATTAATTGATTAAGTGATCAATTAATCCATGTAAATAACAGAAATACCTGTCATTACAGAACGGAGGTGTGCTGCAATCTGAAATTTCACATCTGGTGGAAATTCTTGCCATAACTTGGAGACCAAGTAATCGAGAAACGCGAAGGGTGTGATTATATCCATGTCCCATCCTAATGCTGTCACCACCCCGTGCGCCTTTTGTACAATAGATCCCGTTGCAAAGAAGTAATCTCCGTCTTCGTGTTGTGACAGCGGTGGGAGCATCATCCTCTCCGTCCATGCCGCCAACGAAAGGCAGGCCACCGAAAGCAATCTAATTTCAGGTCTTTCTTCTACAATCTGCAGAAAAAAGAAAAATTAATCAATTCATTAATACTAATAAAATTTCTAATTAAATCAAAATGTAAACAAAATCTTACAGGCGTGGCGATGGACGTCAGAGAAATGAACCGATCGAAGTATGTAACGAACAAGTATACTACTGTTGAGGATTGAAACCCAAATGCTGCTGTTTTCTGAATTTCAAGAAACACCAGAATAAACTCCCGACTGAAACTTCACAAACGTTAGTTCAAATGGATCGAAATTTCGAAAACAAGAAATGGGGTTTTGGAGTTTTGAGACTAACGTTGAGAGCCCATGTGATGGATTCCGATCGAACTTCCAAAACCCAGTTGGGAATGATCAAAGCTTCATCTCTCTGGAACCCGAATCCGATCTCTATGTCGATTAAGTTGTTGATGCCGTCATCTGGGTTTTCAACTGGCACCTCATCGTACAAAAATTCAGGATTTTCTTGGCAAGAAAGGTCCGGCGATAAAGGATCATCGTCATTGCCACCGTCCATTGTTTCTTTCTTGGCAAGAAAGCTCTGGAAAAGCTAGTAGAAATGGAATCAAATGATATGAACTCAGTGAGTCAACCCAGTACTGAAGCCAAAGATTTGGAGAGAAAATGGTTGACCAGCAAAGACTGTATAGGACTGAATATATTTGTAGTGAAAGTGAATGCAGAGACGTGAAACCGTTTTGACAGTTACAGATTAACAGAATTAGGGTTTCTAATTTAGGAATATCAGTGTTTGTATATCAATTTATTAACTTATATATAGAAGGGTATTAGATTTAGTACCACAAACATGAATGCTAGGTGTTTGGGCATAGACTTGTGTGCGCGATTGATCCTAGCATTTCTCATATTAATTTGCTGCATTGTTTTCCCGAGAGCATATTTTGCTTCGGCATCTCAGATTAACAGTCAGTTTCACCGGCTTCAAGTTTTCAACCTTCGTTGAAAATGCCCAAACGATACTCGAACTAGATTGTATTTATACAACTCGGTTTATCTGTACTCGATTTAATTTTTGTGTTAAACAAAGAAAATCTTACGGACGACGTGACCATTCAACCGCACATACAATACAAGGCATCCTACCTCCGAATTTAAGTCTCTCCCACCCCCTTGTGTTTGCTGCCCTAGCGAGCGCCCGAACTGAAGATTCTTTCCTCAAAGTAACTCCACTCCACCATTGGAATTTCTACACCAGAACAGAATTACTCTTCTCTAATGTAATCTGATGTAGCTGAAAAATTCTCTACAACATCCACCCATGGGGCTCGAATCAAACTGCATGAGTGATCAATTGGTTTTTACAGACTTCTCTGCTGGAACTGAAGAATTATCTACAACATTTACTGGGATCGATCAGTCCTTCAAACTCTTCAGCTCCTTCTCCTGCATTCGATTGTAGCAGAAAATCACAGCTTCCTGTAACAAGAAGGCCAAAAACCCGAAGATCGATCAAACCCATCAATCAAAATCTAATTTTAGGCTACATAAAAGGCCCGCAAGTCCCAACATTTAATCTACATGAACATCAACTAGTTAATGATAAAATGGCTAAAAAAAAGACTCACAATTTCCAAAAATTTCAGTTCTGATACAGAGTTTATCTTTAATTCCAATGCTTCTTTTGTTAGTTTCTGATCCAATGCCATCAAAGTGGCCGCGGCTGCTACAGCGGACGGTCGTTGATGCATTGAATTAATCTCTACATTAACATTAAAACGTAATTAACTAACCATCTAAATCAACTCACAGTTAATTAAGTGATCAAATAGAAATAGAAATACCTGTGATTATGGAAAGGAGGAGGCCTGCAATCTTGGATTTTACATCAGATAGAGATTCTTGGCACAACTTGGAGACGAAGTAATCGATAAACGAGAAGGGTGTAATCATATTCATCTTCCATTCCAGTGCTCCCAACACCGTAAGCTCCATTCTCTGAATCAGTTTTACTTCAAAAAGGTGAGGATTTTCGACTTCGTACTGTGACAGTGATGGAATGTTCTGCTCGTCCATCTTTGCAGCCAGAGATAGACACGCCACTGAAAGTAATCTAACCACAGCTTCTTTATTATTAACCTGCAAACACATGAACCGCGTCGTTACACAATCGCTATTTAAAACACTGAATGGAATACAAATGTACAAAACACATTGGCATTATCGTTTGGACAAAGCCCGAAAAGGGGAAAACTAAATCTTACAGGGATTTGTCTCAGGGAAATGAACCGATCAAAGTATGTCATGCACAGATATGCTGTTCTGGGATGAAATCCAAGAGCCCTTCTTCTCTGAAATCCGAGAAACACCAATGACAGGAACACAATCAAATTCCCATTCGAAACAACTTTTTGGATCGAAACTTGGAAAACAAGAAATTGGGTTTTTGAGATTAGATAGAGACTAACTTGGAGAACCCATGTGATGGATTCCACTCGAGCGTTCAAAACCCAAATGGGAATCACCAAATCTTCGTCTTTCTCGAACCCAAATTCGATCTCTCTGAGAATTAAGTTCTGCAAGTGGTCTTCTTCCAGTGCAAAGCCATCACAATAGTTGTTGAGATTGAGGATTGGTTTGTCTTCTCCACAATCTCCGTTGAAGAAAAAGCTGTCACTTTCTCGGCAAGAAAGGTCCCGCGATAAAGGATCACCATTTTCGTCTCTTTTTCTCTTCATTTTTTTCCTTTCTAACTGTTTGCTGCATTTCCACCAAGAAAATCTAGTGCGAACAGAGTCGGATAATATAATCCCAGGACTGAATAATCCGAGATTTGGAGTGAAAAAAAATGGTTGACCAGCAAGACTGGAGAGGTTGAGATGGAGACGAAATGGGGTAGTTTAGCAATGATGTGACACCGTACGTTTTAACGGTTGCAGATTCAACGGAAATGTGAAATGGGAATTGTTATGGATGAATATCTGTTTGTCCAGAGCCTATAGGAATTTGGCCTAGGTTTCATTTGAATGTGATTTTAAAATGACTGAAAGCACTTTTAGAGAATATTTTTACCAAAAACGTTTTTATTTATTTTAAGAGTGCATCCAAACGAGTACATAGTTAACAAAAAGTGCTTATGATTAGAAGCACTTTTTATGTGACGTATTTAAAATAAAATGTGGTACATAACATTTGAACGAACATGTCGTTGATTTTACAAGATAAGAATGATATTTGACGGTATTTAAAAGTAATTAATTGCACATTGTTATGCATTTGAACTTTTTATAAATTGGAGTGAGTATTAGCTTTGGTACAATGTCATTCTCGGTACAGCCTTAGTGTTATACCTATTTCGTGGAAGTCCTTGTATCTAACTCTCATAATATTATAATTATATTAGTTACGAAAGATTTCTTAGTATGTTATGATATATCTTATTTTTTGGAGCATAAATTATTTTCAATTATTTTTGTAGTTTTTGCTCAAAATACGCAAGAGGGATCCTCCTGAATTTTGTCCAATCCATATTGTCCGAGCAAGTAATCTCGCTCCGATGTCCAAAATCCAAGTTGGTTGGGCTGTTCGGCCCAAAAAACCCCAATATTTTTGCTTTTGTTTCGTCCTCAGGCTGCATCGTCGACGTTGAGTTTTGCGTGTTGCCTGTTGCGTGTTGTGGTACATCGTATCAATCGCAACCACAACTTAACCAAGTGACCAACGTGTCCACGAACTATTGGCTGTAGAACGTGTGTTTGTAAATTATCACGTCATGTCATATATAAAATCAATTGTAATACGACCACGTGAACCGTATGAACATCACACTAAAATTCAACCATGGCCAAGAAGCAGACTTGGATTGAATCACGCCTTCTTAATTCTTCTTTTTATCTCTTCCCTCGTACTTGAACGGTTACGGTTCACGTCAATATGTGAGAGAAGGATAGGGAAGATGATAATAGTAAGGGAGAGAATTCTACTTCATCCAAGAGGCAGTTTCCAACCAGAAAGGAAACTTTTTGCTTCAGTCACGTGTCTCTTTCAAAACTCACATATCACATGTGCTTCACTTATATGTGACTCTAGTTATTCACGGACACATATTAAGTTTATGACAACAAAATAAATAAATAAAATTAAGCTTATACATGTCATTCAATAATTTGGGTGCAAGATTTAATCTCTCTCCTGGTGGTCTGCCATCTTCCAAACTCAGGAGCATTTTTGCTTACTACATACACCTAATCATTTGACATGTGTAATTTCACTTAACTTTGGTTATTTTTTTTTAAATTGAAAATGTAACATTTAATGTCAAAATTAAGATAATTAGGTGTATTATGAAATATATATAATTGTTATAACATATGGTGCCCGGCAAAAATGCTCTCTCCAAACTCGCGGGTGGAACAACTCCAACCCCATAATCTTATCACAAGCGTCATCAAATTGAGCGGTTCACAACGCGCCACGTCGTAACCCATACGATTTCATAGAGAAATTTTTAGTTGTAACAGGAACACAAGTGATACACCATGTGTTTTAATAGGAATTGTGAGAAATTTTATTTTTTAAATTATTAACTTTTTAGCACACATATCCCACTATTTATTTAGAAACACGTGGTTTAACATTATGTGTACCGATCATACTGAAAAATCTATCGATTCCGTGAACCTGATTTACACATGTTAGCACCCGAATATCCCTTGCATCCAAACTTAAACATTCCCTTTTTAAAATTCCACCAAGCAAATGCGAAAGCACGAAACTTGGCTCCTTACGAAATCAAATGTTCCAGATTTCAATTTTCCCCAAATTTTGATTTCTAAGCGGAAAGAGGTATTTTAGCCCCAAATCAGGAAACCCTAATTCTATTAATGGCTGAATTGCTCTCGGGATTTTCTGAATCGCAGTTTTTTCTCGTCTCCGACCAATTCGATTTTGCTCATCTCGTCAGATTTTCTTCTCTTTGGCAGCGCTCTCCTCCTCCGTTTCCTCCTTCTAAGATTTTCAGTCGCCCTTGTAAATTTTTCTGACGGAGAAAGCGCACTAGGGATTTAGAAAGTATAGTAAGGATCCCCCATACGATTCACAGTTATGGGGAAACGTAAGGCTCTTCATCCCTTTTAACTTTTCAATTTGAATTTTTTGTGTGTGGTTAATTAGGGTCTTCTTATTTCTAATAATTTCTTATGTTTCAATTCGTTAATTTTAATTGGAAGTTGCTCGTTTGATTGCTTGAGATCCCAAATTTGCTTGCAATTTATTAATTTTTGGTTGGTTCCAATTATTGCAACAAGTTTTGGTTTTGCTGATTTTAATGTTTGATTGAGCTCATAGTACATGTGGGTTTTTAATTTCTTTTCCAAAGAGATAGGCTTGATGGATAGGAATTGTGGAATTTCTGGTGTTGAGGTTAGTGTGGATTTTGGCATTGGCAGGTAGTTCTCAGCGTAAGAATGCTGCGATGATGGACAGCGATGATGATAATAGTAGCGTGAGTTCAACGTCAACTATGCGCTCCGATCATATATCGGTGTCTGTGAATGAAGATATGCAAGTGGATAGGGATAGTTTACTCGACCAAGCTGTAGATGCTTTGTATGAGAAGAGGTATATACTCACTTTTTGATCATTATGTTCTATAATGATACTAATAATAGCCGGCAAAAGAGAGGAAAAAGCGTGTTTAATCGTTCCCATTGTGCTTATTAAAATGTTAAACTCTGTGTATGTGCAGGGGTTCATCAAGAGAAAAAGCTTTGTCAGCAATTATTGACTCGTTTAATAGCAACTTGCAACATCAGTTTGTGGAAAAGAAGTAAGCACTTGCATTTGATTGTGTTCAATTATGCTCCTAAGACCCAGGATGCCTTAGTTGTTACCTTTTGTATTTTGCATTGATTCTCATAAAACTTATTTGTTGTTCATCAGGTTTGCAACGTTATTGCATCAGTGTCTGAATTGCATCAAAAAGGGTTCCTCAAAAGAGATATGTTTGGCGTCTCATGTGATCGGTTAGTCCTTTGCTACTTTCCCACTCTTATACTTCTCCCCCAAGTATCAAAATGAGTTTTTAATCTTTTCATGTGTGCTTGTAGGACTATTGGCTTTGACTGTTGGATGTGGAGACAATGCTCAGGAAATACTGGAAGAATCAGTACCTGTGATTTCACAGGCTTTCAAATCTGGATCTGAAGTTTCAAAGACATCAGCGGTAGCGATATCATACTTCTTTAGGCTTTAGCTTCAAGGGCTTTCTGCTTGTTGGACATATCATGATACTGAACCTGTTGTTCTTTTTCTGAACACACAATTTGGTTTTTAATTGCAGTTACTGGAGTGTTTAGCTATTATCACTTTTGTTGGTGGTAGTGACCCAGAGCAAACAGAAAAGTCAATGCAAATTATGTGGCAAGTAGTTCATCCAAAACAGAGTTCCAATGTAAGCAAGCATGTTCCAGCTATATTTCCAGAAAGTTCGCGAGCACGCCGTTATTTATTTTCTTTTATGGGCCTGGTGAAGGTAATGTTTCATGATTTGACTGTTCTCCGTTCTTTAACTTTTTTAGGTGATTGCAGTTAAACTGTCAGCAGCAGTAATAACCACCATGGTGTCTGCATGGTCCTTTCTTCTTACAACTGTAGAGGGTTGGAATCTTAATCCGAAAGACTGGCAAGAGTGAGCAAATTTTTATCAGTGACCTATTTTTCCTGCTTTTCTTTTGTTTGATAAGGATTGGTCTGCATGTTAATCTATGGTTCGAACCACATCCGTTTATGTACTAAGGCTTTGGCTCCAACCAGGCTGATGCAGCAACCTTGTGGAATACAAGACCTGCATAGTGTGAATACTTTTGCAGCACAGAAACTTATAACAGTTCTGACGTTGAGTCGTTTATAATAACTCCCCCTATTATTTTCTGGCCAATAATGCAGGTCCATAACATACTTATCTAGTCTGCTAGATAAGGATGACCGGTCCATACGTATGGCTGCTGGTGAAGCTTTGGCTTTAATTTTTGAGATTGGAAGTTTAGAGAAGTTCACTGCTGGCGCTAAAACATCAAGTGATGGCTCAACTGAAGTAGGAAACAAATCTCGGGAATATGTACATATACAAGGATTGAAAGCGAAGATTGTTAATCAAGCCAGAAACCTGTCAGCCGAAGCAGGTGGCAAAAGTTCTGCTAAAAAAGATCTTAGTAGTCAGCGGAACACGTTTCGGGATATCTTGGAATATTTTGAGGTATATTTATACCCTTGTGATTAAAATGGATGCTTAATTTTATCGATCCTGTATACTGATCTTATTCTTCAATTTAGGATGGTTATTCTCCTGAAATTTCGATAAAGATTGGTGGTGAATCACTACAGACATCAACGTGGTCGCAGATGATACAGGTCCCCTCTCATGCCTCCTCTTCTCTCCCTGCGTTTGAATTCAAATTTTTATTTACTTAATCATTTCTATTCATTGACTCGTTTTCGTTTTGAAACATTTACAGTTGAACTTTTTGAAGCGTTTTCTTGGAGGAGGTTTTATCAAGCACATGCAGGTTGCTTTCCTTGCCCCTAGATATGATTTCTTCATCATTTTACCAGATAAATTCATATCTATTCTTGATCGTGCCGGTATAATTCCTCTTTGGTTATGCAAAGGCTAATGGAATAATACATCTTCTGAAACAGGAAAATGAACTCCTCCAGGATGTTCTTGGCTTCAATCCAAAGAAAAAGAATCTGTTGGAATCTGAACATCGTCTATCTGGTAGTGAAAAGGTTTGTTCTTACAACCACTCCAATTTAGTTTTGATATTCCATAGGTCTGCAGCAGGTGTTCTTTTGTTGGTGGCTAATTTTCTAGTCATTCATTAATGTTGTGTCGTGGTTACAGAGGATGTTTAAGTCACCGAACTCGGTACAAAACA